CAGCAGCAGCAGCAGCAGCAGCAGCGGCAGCAGCAGCAGCAGCAGCAGCAGCGGCAGCAGCAGCAGCAGCGGCAGCAGCAGCAGCGGCAGCAGCAGCAGCAGCAGCAGCAGCGGCAGCAGCAGCAGCAGCAGCAGCAGCAGCAAAAGGGGTTTCGTGTTTGTTTTGCTGTGCTGTAATTCAGGGAGCTGGAGCTGTGCGCGGGGCTGCATGCGCTGCTGCTGCCATCAGCAGCAGCAGCAGCAGCAGCAGCAGCAGGTGCTGCAGCAGCACCAGGAGCTGCTGCTGCCGTCGGCAGCAACGAGCGCAACAGCAGCAGCAGCAGCAGCAGCAGCAGCAGCAGCAGCAGCAACGGGGGGAATTCTCTGTCTCCTTTGCTGCAGCAGCAGCTCCGCAGACAACTGGCGATGCTGCTGCCTCTGCTGCTTCGAATATCTCAATCAACCAGCAGCAGCAGCAGAAACAGCAGCAGCAGCAGCAGCAGCAGCAGCAGCAGCATGGATCGCTGCAACGCAACAGCAGAACAGCTGCAGCAGTTTGCTGCTGGCTGGTGGGGGGCCGTTGTTATACTAGAAGACGGGAGGGTCTCGCATGTAGGAGAAGCAGCAGCAACTGCTGCTGCTGCTGCTGCTGCTGCTGCTGCTGTTGCTGCTGCTGCTGTTGCTGCTGGTGCTGCTGCTGTTGCTGCCGGTTCTGCGTTTGAGCCCCGTGCTGCTGGTTTTGCTGCTGTGCAGCACTCCTGCTGCTGCTGCTGCTGCAGCAAGAACAGGGTGCATACAATGCTGCTGTTGTTGCTGCGCCGCTGTATTGCTGCTGCTGCCGCTGCTGCTGCTGCTGCTGCTGCTGCTGCTGCTGGTGTGTGTACAGATTCCTGAGGCTGCTGAGGCCTTTGGGTGGCTATCTGCTGCAGCAGCAGGAGAGCAGCAGGCGGAGTTGCTGCTGCTGGCGCCCTTGCTGCTTCTTGGGGGCCAGCGGCAGCAGCAGCAGCAGCTGCAGCAGCAGCAGCAACAGCAGCAGCAGCAGCAGCAGCAGCAGGTACTAGGTGCAGCACGCAGCGACGGCCAGGTGTACGTACAGTGCAAACGTCTGCTGCAGCAATGGCTGGCTCGCTGCTTCAGGGCAGGTA